CCATGAATTTTTCTAGATAACATTCTTTGAAGTATCTCTGGTCTAACTTGGCTGCTTGAAATAACTCAGAAGTTCTTCTAATGCATTTGTGAAATCTGGATATTTATTTATTTATTTTATTTATGAGACTTATATACTGCTTTAAGTGCAAGCACTCTCTAAGCGGTGTACACCAGTAAGCAATGTATATATATATATTTTACATTGCCCCCAACAATCTGGGTCCTCATTTTACCTACCTCAGAAGGATGGAAGGCTGAGTCAACCTTGAGCCGGTGAGATTTGAACCGCTGACCTGCTGAACACAGTCAGCTAAAGTGGCCTGCAGTACTGCACTCTAACTGCTGCGCCACCTCGCCACCTTGCAATCCAATTTAGCTCTAAGCTTTCATTCTTCTCCATCATAAATGATACGACCTTCTTTGTAGTCCATTTTGCTAGACCTATTTTTTTCTTAGTGAAGTTTTTACATTTTCCATCAGCTAGTCTAGTAAAAATAAGAACGAAAGCCTGGCTCTTGTACTTAATAAAAGTTAATTAGTCAAGTAAGACTGATAATTTGTTTGCTTCTATACAGGCTGCATCTATCTCCTTTGCAAGGAATATAAGTATTTGCATAATACTGTATCTTCATGACTTAAGTGATGAAATTCATGTTATTTTCATAATTCCAACAAATGTTGCTGCTTCAAGGTGCTTTCAGACAATATTTCTATTGTGCAAGGGGTCCACCTTTATTCACAGGATCAAACTAGGAGGTCCTGTAGTTGCCTTCTTCCATTTGTAACACATGTTGCCAACTGTAACTTCAATTTCTTTTCTCTTAAAAATAAATCCATTAATGAGAAGAACATCTGGATAGCAAGAACAACAAAGACTCTTGTAGCACTTTAAAAATGATATCGTTGTATGAAGCTAGACTTAGCCTCTGGGCAAGAAATAATCCAATTTAAACAAGGAAGTAATGGAAGTGAACTGAACAAGAATGCAGTAGCGAAATCCAGCCCATTTTGGTGTTTGGACTTCTTTTGCTGGCTTTTGCAAATTTAACCCTGTTCCATTCAGTTTTCAAGGAGTTAATGTGGTGACGGAGAGACTTTTGATTGCATTCATATAATACCTTTCTACCTACCACTCAGTTGGAATTTAGTCTCAGTTTTAGGGGACCCTCACAGCTGATGCAGCATTTTTTACTGGAACATCTGCAGAGTAATATATTAGTACAATGGTTAGCAATCGTTTCAGGTACCAATTGCTATCATGTGATAAAGGTGTGCCAAAAATAAACAATCGGAAAAGGTGATCTCATGAGCTTTTAGCCATTTATATTATTTGTGGAATATACGTCTCAGTCTGAACATACTTGTGGACAGAAGTAGTAGTGATATTGTCATATTTTTCTAATTTTATACCACTGTATATTTTTTTCACTTTTAGAATCATCAACATCATCAGTGTGATGATTGTGAGTTCTAGACTTGCCCTTGGCATGAAGCCAGTTGAGTGACCTTGGGCTAGTCATTTCTCTTAGTCCTAAGAAGGAGGCAATGGCAAGGCACTTCTGAAAAACCTTACAAGGCAGTCATCAGGAATCAACACTGACTCAAAGATAGACACAACATTTCTACAATCTTTGTCGTGACTTGTAGGTTGCAAATTTTAAAAAGTGACTGGATCCAAGGGCTTTGCTTCTAAGGAGATTATAGAACAACTGAATTCTGTAGAGACTCATTCTTTCTTTTGAAGGCTACACAACTGACTTCTGAGTGAACGATCACAGTGTTGCATTGCAAGCTTCTAAAGCAGGGGTGTCAAACTCCGGCCCTCGGGCTGGTTGCATCATATGGAGGCTATGCCCACCCCAGCTCTGGCAATGCAAAAAAACACATCACATAACGAGGCAAGTTTGACACATCTGTGTTCTATAGTATTCAGTCTCATGACTTGTCTGGAAAATTCATAATGCTAATAATAATAAACAAAACATCCTCAACAATTTCTGAATTTTCTAGCTATATTTATTTCTATATTCCCCAGGAGCAGAAGTGAAAGAAGAATGCACTATAAATTCAAACATTAGGGTTGGGGTGACAGCCTTCATCTTTGATAAACAGGAATGTATTGCATTACTATCATTGTTATTCTTCATTGAATAACAGGTTAGCTAGATTACATGGCCTATCTTTGCAATTTGGCACAATTCTATTAATAAACTTCTAATATTATTTATTAAATTTATTACGGCTGCTCAGTCCAAGAGATTCCATGTAGATTACAACAGCCCAACATCCCAGTATAGAATTAAAACAATTAAAATAGACAGCAAAACACAACCGTAAATCTTCCAAAACATGATAGGGTCTTCATAACACTGTAATCCTAAGGCTGGGAATAGAACAGGTCTTAAGAATCTTTCAGAATTCGAGGAGAGTGCCTTTATCCAGATTGTTATTAAAGGATTCATTTAATTTCTTTTTTATAGTTCTTTTTTACAATTCTTTATGATCCATTTGTAGAATAAATTCATTTAATCTCCATCTATAATTCAAAATCTTTTTTGAAAGTATCAAAAGAACTGGATTATGGTCTGAAAAGGATCTAGCTAAAGCATCAACGTTTAAAATTTTATTTGCAAGGCTTTTAGAAATCCATATCATATCAATTCTTGAGAATGATTTATAGCATCCTGAAAAAAAGTATATTCTCCAGCAAGTCATTTTTTTCTTCCATGAATCTATCAATGCTAAATTGTCCATCATCTCAAAGAATGTCTTTGGTAATTTACCCTGAGAGGGTTTATTCCCTTTAGTGGACATTGTATCCAAGGCTGGGGAAATCATTCTCTTTCAGTCCTGCAAAATAAGCCAATTTTCATAAGAAAAACATAGTAGTTGATCTATAAGATATTTTTTAAAAAAATACTTTTATCATCATTTGGCAGACAGAGTCCCATACTATTGATTTTATTCCATTAAGCTCCATTTCTGCAGCTAGAAATCTGCCCTACTCATCTGATAGTATTAACTTGGGCTTAAATTGGGGGTTTATTTAGAATACCCAATAGCACTTAAACTTATATACTGCTTCACAGTGCTTTACAGCCTTCTCTGAGTGGTTTACAGAGTCATATTGCTTATTGCTGGGTCCTCATTTTACTGACCTCGGAAGGATGGAAGGATGAGTCAACCTTGAGCCGGTGAGACTCAAACTGCTAAGCTGCTGGCAGCTGGCAGTCAGCAGAAGTATCCTGCAGTACTGCATTTTAACCACTGCACCACCATGGTACAAATACAATCACAAACAAATCCCAATTTGTTTCTTGCAAACAAATTATGTCAACATTCAGTTTCCTCTAAAATTGATTTTTTCCCCCCACTTGGATGGGCATTTTCCCTATTAAAATTCCATGTTATATACTTATTGTCTATCTTCAGACAATGTAGCAAATTCCTGTACAATCATCTCTGCAGCCTCTTCCTGTTTTCTGTATCTGATAATCAAAGTCTTATGATATCGTTAAAAATCTGCTAGGTTAAAGTCACTATCCTTGAAAATAGGTACAATTTAGCCAGATCTATCTGTCTGTCCGTCCATCCATCCATCCATCCATCCATCCATCCATCCATCCATCCATCCATCTATCTATCTATCTATCTATCTATCTATCTATCTATCTATCTATCTATCTACTCTATCTGTCTGTTTGGTATCTGTTTCTGACCTGATCTGGGTGACACAAGTTAAATTTCACATGACAACACTGGCAGATGCCTTATTTCTATGCAGCATTTATGTAGAATTGGTTCCCCAAGTCCCAGATGCAGATTCTGAGCCTGTTTGCTGTTTCCTGCATTTTGGAGATGCAGTTTTTGAGATGCAGCCAGTCTCCATTTATTGAGAAAATTGTAGCTTTTCAGCTTATCATCATAAGAACTTTGGAATAAAGTATTACATTTATCTTTTTTTCTTCCCCCTTTTAATAAAACTTTTCTTTTTCAGACTGTTAAATCGGCAGATCTGGCTTATTGCTCATTCTTTATGATGACTGGATTTTGAATTGATCTAATATCCTTGGATCAGTTTTTCCCATTCTGCCATCATACCTTATGGAAAAGATGCCTTGTATCAACATTTAATATTCTGCCAGAGAGGCTTCTCAAATCAATACTATTTTCTGCTCTTGAAAAATGAGCACTGGAATGACAAAAGTTAGGTTACTTATATTTCTTGGTATCTAGCAGATAATGGGAGAAAAAAACAGATGAACACAGCCATGGATTTAATTCTTCCAAAACAAATGTCTTCATATTCTGAGCATGTATGTAGAAAACTGATGTATACATCCTTAATAACTTAAGGAGTCATACAGAAAATCATGTAGACTTTTATGCAAACAATATATAAAAAGGAATGACAAAGAGTTTAATATTTCCCTTTCTTGGGCAATCATTTTTCTTATTAAGCCAAGGATCACTTAACAATTACACTAATCTTATTTTGAAATAAAATGGTCTCATAATTATTGTACGCTTAGCTCTACACACCTATGTATGTAGTAGGAAAGTAAGGCCCTTTGGACAGATTCTACAGCAAGAGGAGGAGGAGGAGGAGGAGGAGGAGGAGGAGGAGGAGGAGGAGGAGGAGGAGGAGGAGGAGGAGCATGATAATAATAGTAGCAGCAATAGCAACAGCAGCTAAGGAAGAAAAAGCAAAAAGTAAGACCTCCCAAACAACAAATATTCCCAAATAAAAATCTATAGTAATATAGCAATATATAAAAGACTCCCATCTTCAGCAGCAAAGAAGCACTTAACTCTATCAAACTGATTAAAAAAGTAATTATTTCAAACTGACCACATATCAGATGAATGAAAACAATGTTCCTAACAAAAAAAGAAAGATCTTTGCTTGATGTTAAAAACATTGTTATGCTAGGTCAGCACACCACAGTTGAGAAGACTTTCACAGTTCTTAGTGATATATCTAATTTCATTTTGCAGGATATCTAGAAGAAGGCTTTGAAGATCAAGGAAAGTCCAGGTAGGAAGAACAAATCATTTCAGTATTTAGTCCCCAAATTGTAGCATGATTTGATTGGCCTAGAAACCGATCTAGAAATGGACTGGAAGTTAGATCAACTGAAACAATATTAGCTTTATATTATTATATCTGCTGGTCCCACTTACTTGGTGATTCCCGATGGATGCTTTTCATTGTCTCTTTGACAATCCCTAATACAAGTAGAGCCAGATTCCTGTTATTTATATGGGGAGGGTAGGGATCATAGGTTGCTTTCCCCTCACACATTCATGCTACATTATCTGATTAAAAATGGAATTTGTAAATGATCAGTTTTTTAGATTACAGGAAATGTTACATATTACATACATTTCAGAACATCTGACCAATGGTAGTGCTTATTTGCTTCTGTGACTTACAGATTAACAAGACCTCTTTAGCAAGTACTTAAGGCAGTAAAATATGAATAAATTAAAATAACATATGGGTGTTTAGATAATTCTTTTCCATGTGTTTCAGTATCCTATTCACAAATAATATCTCAATGATGTTTATATAGTTTCACTGCATATTTTGTATAGCAGAAAAAGGAGTTTTTATTGTTAATTGTCAAATTAAAATTCAGCTGGCAAGAGAAAGACTATAGTTGCTGAAATTTCATCAGATTGAAAAGATTTTTTTTTAAAAAATAGACATATATAGTCCTTTTTTTCAACCTTTCTCTGCACAAAAACAAAATGGAAGTGGAAAAAAGACAGAAGAAATACAGTATATGTGTGGATGGAGAAGGCTGCAATGATGAGCAGGGGGCACAGGGAGTGGGAGGGCTCCTGTAGCATTGCTTTGCTGAAGCCTCTATCAGAACTTATTCCTCTCCCACTTCCACAAAATCAAAGCACTCACACGGGCAGACCACAGTCCACACAACTCTCTACTTCATACAGTAGAGGAAGGTAGTAAGGAGAACATTGTCAACACATTATGAAAACAGAGTAGTGGTTGCTCAAAGCCACAACCCCACCTCTCATCTTCAGCTTTCATGTTCTTGCATTCATCAGGATTTTGCTTTAAAAGCTCTTTCGGCATCTCTATGCTACAATGACATCACCACAATGGTATTTTGACAGCTTGCCAAGTTACTTCTAGGGTTCCACTTTCAGGATTTCCAGCTGTCCAAATCAGCAACAGTCTCTTTGTATACACAAAACCACAGAACTGTAGAGCTGCAGCTTCCTTTGTCTAATGCCTGCTTGGGAATGCTTTTCATTCTGCCTTAAGTTCTGGTCTATAACTTCTGCAATTTCTGCTTTCATCTTTCTGGAACTGGTTTCTTTGTTATTCCCTTCTGTGCAGTCCTGTCTTCCAGATGCAGCACTTCCCATATTTCTAGTTAATGCAAAATATAAGTTTCATTCTTCACTTCCTTCTTTGGCTTCCTGATCCAACTCACAGCATGTATTTCATTTTTTTTTAGCAAAGACATCATACTTTTCTGGTCTCCATTCCTATTGAAATCACATTATCTTTTTTTGTATGTGTGGCTTTTGAGAATGCCTTTGCGAGAGGCAATGCATTCTATTTTTTAGACTTTTAGGGCACATTTATAAAATGCATAAATATAAACATAAAGGAATGCGAGAGTGCAAAGATTGCTTCGGCTCATTTTAAATAGTCAGATAATTATATATTTCTTTAATTCCATATTGGGCAATCTGCTATCCAAGCTCATTGTACAGCCTACAGTATACATTCTTCTAACTACAATTGCTGAAGCTGAAAAATAATTTCTCGTCATTTGACAAAATAACTCATAAAAAAGGAATGTTCAGATCTAATGTTAAAAAACCCATCCTCTGAAAACACAAGTGTACATGCAAACATATAAAATGCCAGAACAAAAATTCCCATTTTGGACAAAGTACATCCTACTTTTCTTAATCTACCTCCATTTCCACTTCCCTCGGCACCAAAAGATTGACTACCTCTATTTTAACTGAAATATTTTTGATTGTTTTTAAAGGGGAAACTATAGAGTTCCATTACTGCACAAAGTTGACAGTAATGTTGCCATACAGTAATCAGTCAGATGATGCTTCCCACATGACATTGTGGCAGTGTCCTTAGATTTACTAAAGTTTCAGAAGAAGGTCTTCAAACTAAGCCTCCAACATGTATAGTTCACACGAAAGTTTCATCAAACTGTGGAACTGCACTTAATTTGGGGAGAAACTAGCTTAGCATGGATGTGGTTTAAAGTCATATAAAAGTGAAGTCTAATATATATATAATATGCTGTATCTAATCAAGGAGAGAATCTACCTAGCACTAAGAAGAAATTTCTTGACAGCTAGAACAATTAATCAGCGGAACGACTTAACTCCAGAAGTTTTAGATACTCCAACACTGGAGGTTTTTAAGAAGAGATTGGACAACCATTTGTCTGAAATGGATAGGGTTTTCTACTTGAGCAGGGGTTTGGTTTAGAAGACCTCCAAGGTCCCTTGCAACTATGTTATTCTGTTATTCTGTTTAATTTGCCTGTCTCTAGTTCAACATTCTCTGCAGAGCTACACCTCTGATAAGTTGTTTAGGAACATAGTGTTCTAGGCAGTGCCATGTATCAAAAAGAGAGGATGGATTACACAGTGTAATGCTTGCTTTAAGAAAAATGATTTTGTAGAGAGGAGGAAATATGGATTCCGAGATAAATAAGTCTGTCCTAAAATCAGAATCTGGTTATTCTAGTCTCTGCCTATTGAACAGGTGGCAAGCTTATGGAGTGAAAGAGAGAGGTAAATGATTAGAAACATACCTCCTTGTCACTCCTCTCTTTCTTTGTAGTTCTTTGTGACCCATGTGTGTCTTTCTTATGAATTACCACCTGTAGTTTCTTTGTTCATTTACTTTTCTGGTCTTCTTTCCCTTGTTAATTTATCTTTCTGCAAAACATTCATTATGGATTATAAGCTTCTTTCTTTTATTGTATAAAATCATAAATAATATGGTGGGTAAGCCTAGCTGCTTCAGGTGCTTTGTCCTTGTAAGAAATATGGCTCCTTTACATTTGGATCCTACCAATTATGAATATGTGTTAGTATGTTAATTAGCTGGAACAGAATTTTGATTCTTACTCTGTCACCAGTTATTCAGAATGGAACCCTTTTACTGACCCCAGAGAGCCACTTTGTTCTAGTGATTAAGGCATCAACACAGAAAGTGGGAGACCATGAGTTCTAGTCCCACCTTAGCTATGAAAGCCAGTTGGGTGACTTTGGATCAGTTGCTCTCTTTCAGCCCAACCAATCTCAGAGGGTTGTTGTTATGAGGAAAATGGGGGGGGGGTAATGTGTCTTGGATTGTCTTGAGTTATTTTTAAAAATAACAAAAGGTAGGAAATAAGTAAATAAATAACGCAGGGATTGGGGTATTTCTGAACTAATGAGCCAGCTGTAAAGTGAGTTGGATAATGCTTGCACTATTATAAGTTTAAGATTATTCTGTGCAAACCTGAGTAGCACTATGATCTTATTTTTATATACATTAAAAACTACAGTATAGTGTGAGAGTATCTCTCTGTCCAAAGCTTTGTACGCATGAATTCTGTATAGAAGTGATAACAGATGCATTTTAGCCCCTTCTGTATTTTCAGTTAAAAATATTGCAAAGTTACTCTGAATTTGTGTTTGTTTACAAAAAAATTGTTTTTCATTAAGGAACTGTGGACCCCATAACGGCTTTAGATATGTAGATTAACAATAACAACCCTTGATAGTTAAAATGGGCCACTGATATGTCAGTATATATATATATTTTTAGCAATATAGGCAATTAAATTACTTTGCTTTTCATTGCCCCTTTTGACCTTTAAATGATGGTGTTTGGTTTTCTTGACTATTGGACAAGCTTTTTATCATACTCTTTATATTCCCACCATGTTATCTTTCTCAAACATGAGGATAAAAATCCTTAGATCACAAGTCAGTAAACAAAGTAAAACCCTTGAGAAATATCATGTTGTAAGGATACTTTACAGGAGGAAAAGAGTGCTAGGAAAGAAACTGCAGAAGAATAATTACTGCAGAATACATGTACTCAACACTGATATCTATTAACTCACAATTTACTGAGTTAGAAAAGCTTTTGCTTCTTCAAACAGGATAGGTGTCTTTTTCCACATTTGCCAAATGTTTGATTTAGACACCATTATCGTTGATGTTTATCATGCTTGGTTTTTTGATAAGTTTGTTACACAGGCTTTGGTGATGTTTCTTCACCTTTGTTTTTCTAAAAAGACTGAATGCCATGGATCCTATCCTAGATTGTTGATTACAAGATTACAGCCAAACGAATAGTCTTGGGGATAAAATATCATTGAACATAAAACTTATTGTCCTGTATGTTTAGTGTTCTTTCTTTCTTTCTTTCTTTCTTTCTTTCTTTCTTTCTTTCTTTCTTTCTTTCTTTCTTTCTTTCTTTCTTTCTTTCTCTCTCTCTCTCTCTCTCTCTCTCTCTCTCTCTCTCTCTCTTTCACATGCACACAGAAAGACAAATATATAATGTATCTTATCAATATACTGATGTGCTATCTGTAAATACAGGATATATATGTATAATTGATACATACAGAGACACACAATAAGATAAGATAATCTTTATTGTCATTTTTTACTGTGGGCACATATTAAAAATGCAATTCTCAAAAGTATATGTCTACACATACACATACATACATACATATATACTGTATACATATCTCTGACTATCAAAAGACATGACCCATTGTCCCTCATGTCCATCCATGAGGATTTGGAGGAACACAAGTTTGATCTAACTGGGACCACAATTATAACTCAAGCAAAGTCAAGGAGAGAAAGATAATTCCTCGAGGCCTAGTTCTCTACCAACCAGTGAACAGACACATTGACATCAACCCCACCTACCAACCATGAGAGTGAGAGAGCTGCTTCAACTGAAATACCAGAAGCAACATTCCAAACAAACTGAACACAATTCAAACCGCA